GTTTTTTTCTGTATTTTTCTTCATACTGTCGGATCTATATCCATATATTTGCTTACATACTGTCTACTGGAAATACAAACCTGAATTTACTTTATAACATGGAAGACTTCAAGCTTGGACGAGAATATAAGAATCTATTGATCAAGTAAGGAAAGGATTTAATATCGAACTGTTTTTTAAAATTGTTCCATCGTTTTTAAATCATTTTGATTTGCTTTGTAACGTGGAGGACTTCAAGCTTGTATGAAGATATAAGAACCTATTGATCTCTGCGTATTCCTATATCAACGGAAGGGATTTCTTGAACTGTTTATATAAAATAGTTCAATCGACTTTTTTAATATTTTAATATTTAGAAATCATCTTCGAATACGTTTTCACAACATCGCCCACGTGACGACAACGTGATCATATTTAAAAGGAACGCTGATCTTGTATAAAAATTTCAGTTATTTGTTTGGATCAGTTGTGTTCTTATGTCCATCGTCTTTTGTGTTAAATTTTTATATGTTCTAATGTTAATTATGTTTAAATGAAAATGTCCATGAAGATGGTCTTAAATAGACCGAAACGTCCGACGTCGACTTTATATTAACATTAATACAGCATAATTGCATAATAAGATTTTTGTTTGTTTTTTTCTGTATTTTTCTTCATATATATATATATATATATATATATATATATGTCTGTGGGGGGTATATATTTCGGTGTGTGATGCAGACATATCTTAACGGGAGTTATAAATATATAGGTTGAGCTTAAAAATCAATTTATCTACAATCATATATCTATACTTGATAGAAACAGGGTCTCATTGCCAGTAATTACGCTAAATCATGCCATCCTTTTCTATTAAGTTAAACTAAGTTACTAAACCACACGTTTATACGTACCATAGATAGGGTACCATATATGGTTGAATTCAGAGAAAGAACTTACGATAAATCAGTGATTCTGAGTGTATGTGCATGTGTGTGTGTGTCTGTGGCTGTGTGCGCATGCGTGCGTGCAAAGATGCTATTTAGAAGCCATTTGCTTCGAAATCAAATTGAGACTCTTCAAGACAAGGGGGGTGGCGACGGGAGAGAATATTCTCATCCGCTTCGCGTAACATTTCCCAAGGGAAATGGAATGACCTATTTCTTTTCCACAGAGAAAAACCTGAATGGTTTCTACGGATATTCATATTCTGAATAAACTACAAGAGTAGACATCAATCGATATCCGATTATAATTGTGGTGTTACGTAAATAGAATATATATATATATATATATATATATATATTAGTAAGTAGAATAGAAAAAATAGAAGAAAATGATAATTTCTTGGAGAAGTGCGTTTCTGTAGGAACGCCATATTACGCCATTTACAATTTAAATTTTTTCTTAATCTCTGTTATTGGGTAACTCGAGATATTCGTTCTTTTTCCTATGTTATTGTTTTTCACATACACACAGACACACACACAAACATATATAGTTGTAGAGTGGATAAATGAAACGACCAAATATAAGCAGGCGTGTACATGTGTGCATACACAGGAAGCATATATATATATATATATATATATATATATATATATATATATATATATATATATATATGGTATATATGTACACGCCTGCGTATATTTGGCCGTTTCATTTATCCACTCTACAACTACATATATATATTATAAATTAATTGATTTAAAATATGTTTTTTTTTCGCTACACATTTTAACCATGTTTCAAAAATGGAAGCTAAAAGCTCCGAATCTAATTTTGTAATTAAATTAAAGACATTAGTTCTATTTCATCTTCAAGCGAATTTTGGAGTAACTTTTAATATTACAGGGTTTTAAAGAGACAGCTAAAACAAAATTCATGTTTCCAAGGTTACAGATAAATCTATTTTGCTAAACAGGGGTGTCTAGGTGTTCAACATGTCTATATTTTAATGTAACAGTTATTGCTACGTTTTGGTAGTGGGTAGGGATGTATTTTTCAATGAAATCTAACATCCGTTAAAAGCGTGGCGTCTGGATTTTTTTTTTAAATTATATTGTTAACGGCTAAATTCTTACGGCATTTTTTCCTTCGTATGTTTAAAGATTTTTGGGTGGGGGTGTTTAGGCTAGAATACGTTTTATTTAACTACGATTTGAAAAGTATTTTCACTTTTAATTTTTAATATACTATATTACTTTTAAATGTATTAGAATCCCTTACACTATGTAGAATTATGTAGAATTATTTTCACATCAAGTATAAGTATGTATATTATTAGGTAATAATTTTTTTTTCTGGTTGAATTGGATTTCTCTGTATCCTTGGAAACGTGAATTATGATTTTAGATTTTAAAAGTTACTCCAAAATTCGCTTGAGGATGAAATGGAACTAATGTCTTTAATTTAATTACAAAATTAATTTCGGAGCTTTTAGCTTCCATTTTTTAAACATGGTTAGAACTGTGTAGCGAAAAAAAAAATCATATTTTAGATCAATTAATTTATAATATTAATGCTCTGTATATATATATATATATATATATATATATATATATATATATATATATATATTCATAAATTATTCACACAAAAACAAATGCAAAGGTTAATGATTTAATTGGCGAGAAATCCATCGTCGCAAACAATTCAAATAATATACAAAAACCTCCGAATCCGTTATGAATGAAATGATCCTAGTTTCTATAAATTTCTGCCGTATTAGTTCTTATTTTTACTACAAGCTTTCGTCTGTTCTGATTCGGAGGTTTTTTTTATATTATTTGTATTGTTTGCGACGATGGATTTCTCGCCAATTCAATCATTAACCTTTGCATTTGTTTTTTTGTGAATAATTAATGAATCTGTAAATTGATTGCACGTTTATTGTAATATATATATATATATATATATATATATATATATATATATATATATATATATATATATATATATATATGCATGTCTAAATGTGAAATAACTTGCGTTTCCTTCCTAACCTTTTGTTTGAAGTGGTGTGGAATGGCAACATTTTGATTGTGTCTTTATTTTCTTCGCGATTGTCATTTGCTATCCATTTTAGTTGTTGCCGTTTTTGGCTGTCCTCGGGTCATGTGGTTTCTGTTATTTGGTACAGTTCTTTGTATGTGATAATCTAGCGTCAGTTTACAATGTTCAAAGAATGATGGTCATTGCCATGAGTCTCAGACTGTATTTCTTTTTTCTCGCTGTTGTTCTAAGGAAGCAGCTGACAGTTAACATTCTGTAGCGCCAATCCACAATTTTCATAGAATGATCCTTGCCAAAACTCACAAGGTTCCCTCGTCTTTTTTCCCCATTCATTTTAAGAAGCAGTTGTATTTAGCTGCGAGTTAGATATTTCTGAACGCTATTTACATTATTCGGACTATTGTCCTTATCTTTGTCGCCATATTTATTCCAACGTTTCGGCCTTTGTACGCTCCGGCCTTCTTCAGGTGGTTGGAATATCGAACTGAACTCCTTATTTCGCTCACTGAGGTAGACTGTTCTAGTTCCATGTGCCATGTCTAATGGATGTCTTTTATCAGTTTTATCTCCTGTTAATTCCCCTCTCCAAGTTCTCCACTGGCTTAACCAG